TAATAATTATATATCAATGCAAAGAAAAAATAATAAAGCTTATATCCTTCCAGAAATTAGACTAAAAAACTCAGCTCATCAACCTCAGGCAGGAACCTCACTAAGGTGTACCTTCTGTAGTACAAAGTTAAATCCCAGAAGAACAAGGTGGTCGTGCAAATCATGCAACGTACCACTATGTCTAAATAAAAATAGAGACTGTTTCGAAAGTTTCCATAAGGTGTCAATGATATGAATTTGAAACCACCAGGGAGAGCCGCCATTTTGAATTTAAAAAACTTTTTTTGTGTGTTTTATATTATATTATACTAGAATCAATAAAAAAATTACTAAATATCGTGTTGCAACATATTAATTTTATGAGGGAACCTAAAGGGTTAAAGCCCTGCCCTAAATTTTCAAATTTCGTTATTTTGAATATTTTCTCTGTATTTTATAAATTGTTTTATACGGAATTTAAGATAAGTAAATAATATTAAAGCATAATTAAAATGTTTTTCACTATAATATTAAACGGCATAAAAATATGGATTTGTGGCCTTCCGTCTCTCTTAAAGTTGAAATTGTTTTAAACCGTATCATGAATAATAAACCAATTTACACAGTGAGATTTAAAAATAATTAAATAGACAGAATATGAAATTAAAAAATCTTCTTTTCCTATTTCAGAAAGTCTCATAATCATTATGTTTAAAAATATTTATTGTAGGCATTCCCTTTTAGGCAGAATAATATGATTTGAAAATAATTTACAAAATATTAAATTTGAACTAAATTCACATATCATCTCTATTGAAACCACCAAAATAAATAATTAAATATATTTTTTATCATTTTAAGATTTATATTTGAAACAGGAGTTGGCATTTATTATTTTTAAATTTAACAATGTTTAAATTTAAAAAAAATAAGATTTTATGTTTTAAAGCTATAAAATTAATGACGATTACAAAAGATTTAATAAGATAGAGGTCTCAATCCAATGTTCCCCTTCATCTAATCTTATTTAAAAAATTTTAAAAATTATCAACATATTTTTTTAGCGCTGGAAAGGGTAAATCATATCAGTAACTAGGGGCTAGTAGAATTAGGTCGAATTAATTATAATGATATAATAAGTATTCATTGGCTACTATTATAGCTTTAAATTCTATTTTTTTCCCCTTTAACTTTCACCTTTTCTGGTGGTTGATAATCAAAAGAATTAGAAAAAAATTAAAAAATTCATTAAAACTTAAACATTTTTTAAAATAAAATATCACATTTTGAAATTTTTTATAAATTATTTATATACAAATGGTGTATTATTGATAATAACAATTATCCTATAGGAGACTTAATAAACCAATATAATCTACAAGCCTGGGGTTTGGGGCTTGTTGGGGCGAAAATTAACTTTTACTAGAATCAATCTTAAAATATTAAAATATTTATTAATAGGGTCTATTGTAAAAAACTACTTAATCTAATCGTTAAAAAAATTGAGTATACCAAATTCCACATATTTTTAAATAAAATACGAATTTCATAAATAACGACGTGTTTTAGAGGTAAATAATTTTAAAACGCTACTTTAAATAAATATAGACAATTAAGCTGGTTTTCTGGTTTTTTGGAAAATGGGTTAAATATAATTTTGTCAAATATAAATCACTATTGCATTGTGATAATGTTGGTTGTAATGCATTCGCGATATTGCATTCGCTATGATGCATTCGCGATAATGCATTCGCTATGATACATTCGCGATAATACATTCGCTGTAATGCATTCGCTATAATGTTTTCGCGGTAATGCATTCGCTATAATGCATTCGCGCTAATATATTCGCTATAATAAATTCGCTATGATGCATTCGCGATAATGCATTCGCGGTATTACATTCGCTGTAATGCATTCGCTATAATATTTTCGCGGTAATGCATTAGCTATAATGCATTCGCGCTAATATATTCGCTATAATACATTCGCTATGATGCATTCGCGATAATGCATTCGCGGTATTACATTCGCTGTAATGCATTCGCTATAATGTTTTCGCGGTAATGCATTCGCTATAATGCATTCGCGCTAATATATTCGCTATAATACATTCGCTATGATGCATTCGCGATAATGCATTCGCTATAATATCTTTTCGCGGTAATCGACATTCACGATAATGCATTCGCGATAATACATTTCGCGGTAAAAGTTTCGCGGTATTGACGTGATACGTTCTAAGATATATATGATGAATAAATGAGTTCAATAATTACTATATTGCAACCTGGGAGAATTCTTTTACACTTAAATTTATGTACAAATTTCAAATGTATACGTTTGTTATTATTTATAGAATAAACAATAAAATATTTTAGTATATTAATTCAAATCTTAGAACTATGGCAAACATATTTCTTAGGAAATGATATATACCTTTGGTCAACATATAGCAATTTTCTAAACCACAACCAAATTTCAAAATTGATTAAATCACTGATGATTTTTTTTATATTAGGAATATTTTGATTTAAAAAGATGTAATCTTAGGTGGGAAAGACTAAGCCAATGTTTAGACAACTATTAGCCAACGACCAATTATATTGCATGAATCATGAAAAATTTGATGATTTTCAGATATTATTTATGATCCTGATGAGTAACGATGCGCATCTCTACATCGAATAATGAAGTCCTTTATTGAATAAGAAATGTGCAAATTTAGAATTCTATTTTTAAGGATCCCTTCTACCCGGGCGCGTTGCCAGGAATTTTCTACCGAAAGGGGGGGGGGATAATTTATATTGAAATAATTCTTTTTTGAAGCATTAAAAATTTATTAGTTAATCATATAAATTTATTAGAACTATTTATATATAAAATATATTAGAACTAATCATATTTGAAAATATGATAATTTCGAACACAAATATAATAAAATATTGGAAAATTGAAAATATTAAGAGCGAATATAATACGGTAAAAATATTATAGCTTATAAACAGGTATATAAATCTGATTTAAAAAGTTAATCAAAATATCCATAAATGAAAATTTAATCTTCTTTACGATTGTGCCAATTTTTAAATAATTTGCTCTGTATTGGTAATTAGATCTTGATGAGTAAAGTTAGTTTATTCAATCAATTTTACGATGTCTTAATTTTGATAGTAATGAAGAAAAGGTTCTCTCATTTATGCTAGTACTAATTGGTATCATTGCCAAAATATGCAATAATTTTAATAATTTGGAAAACTTTTAAATGCTCCACTGTGTTACTTGAAGGATTATCTATCTTTCATTTATACCATTTAAACTCTGAAATTAACTGGCCTTCAGATACGTTTATATCCTCAGAATAAAATTTAGACAAATATTTAATTTTTCAATATCAAGATATGATATATCCTCAGATCATAGGGAGTTATGAGATATAATATTTGTAAATTAGTTAGAGCCATTTGATAAATCATGAGTCAAAATTAATTCCAAAAGTGGAATAAAAACGAAACAGCTATTTTATAATGACCTCAAATGAGTCAAGGTTAATATTGGAACGATTTATTTGTCGGTGAAAGTCGAGGCTTAAGAATTATCAAAATCATATAATTTCGTTCTCATCTCAATAATCACATAAACCTCAAGAAATTCCTGGTTGATACTATCTTTTGGTTTTCTAAGTTGTAATATAATAATATTTGCGGTTCTCATAACTTCAGCCAAATCCATTTTTTTAAAAATATTGCATAAAATTGTTGTGTAAAAAATAATTTATTAATACTTTCGAGTGAAAATATTGGTAGTCATATTAAATCTAATAATGTATCAACTTCAGATAAAATATTTGCTTCAGGTGATTTTGATATTTCAATGCTGTAACAGTATGATGTAAAAGGCTCCATCTTGTGGTGCAGGCTTTTTGAAGTTTCTTTTTTCCTGTAGCATAAGAAGTCTCAGAAATAATTATATTCAGCAAATTCTGTCTATTTGGATATCTGAACATTTCATATACTCTAGAAATTTTATCACAATATAAAGATAAATTAAATAGAATTTTTTTAAGATAAAATTTTCTTCTATCCATCAGTGTTTAAGGTTCAAGAAATGTAACAAAATAATTTTTAAATTTTATAAAATATTAATATACAAGATATAAATATTCAAATTAAATTTAAGTTTTAGCTAATATTTAGAATAAAATATTACCCATTTGAAATAGAATACTTTGCAATTGCTAATTCATGAAGCTCTTTAATTATTTTTCAAAAATTCTTGCTGGGGGATTTCTCCCCCTCTCCGCCCACCGCTGGCTATGCGCCTGCTTTTACCAAATCCTCTAATGGAATGGAAGCGTTTATATTACCACTTCAGCAAATATTTGACATGGTTGTACGAATGAATTTCCCCTGATAATTCTTTGGTAACAAAAGTTTGTTTTTATCTAATGATGTATGATCAGCCGTAATATTGTGATTATCATTAAAAATTAGATACTCCACTCCCAGTCTGAAATAAATATGCTTCGAGATATCCGAAAAGATATGAAGTTAATAAGGCCTCAAAGATAACAAATATACATAATGTGGGGATAAACCATTTAATCTTTAGGATAAAAATTTTAAAAATCATAGGTTGTGCATTCATTAAAAATAAAGTGTGCAATGTTTCATGTAATCCTCCATTAATACTATTGTTTAATTGTAATTGAAAAATAAAGAAAATATTTACGAAATAAGAATGATTTTGATTTTAAAATAAAAAATAGTTTGGTCTACTCGGGAGGAAAGGGTTCTTTTTGGTAAAAAAATTTATAGGGTATTCTTTTATACGCCCAGAAGGGAGGGGCAAAGTGTTGTTTAGCATTCGTAAATAAATTTTAGGAACCCCAAATTTATCTTAAATTTTTCTGAGCAATCCTAAATTTAAAAAATGTCCTAATAAATGTCAGAGCCAGGGATGCTGACAACATTAACTTCTTTTAATATTACGATACATTTTATTCAGAAAATATGTTTCAATTAATGTGTCGATGTATAATAAATAATAATAGGAATAAGAGATATAAATATACAATAAATATGTATAATAAATGTAAAAATTTACAAAAATAAATTATATATAGAGACAATAATTCATGAAAATAAACGTTACGATGATATGATGGTGTTTGTTTAAATAAATGAAAGCATAAAATGAAGAGAGGGGCTCACTTAGAATTGATTTTGGATGTTAAAACATCGTAGCACACTGAACAAACCCTAACAGGTTTAGTCAAATTGTATTTCGAAATAGGCATTGTTTTGTCGGAACATTTCGTACACAATATCCTACCGCAATGCCGACTTATTTTTGTTTTAAATGATAAGATTTCAAGAAATAAGATAATGCATAATATTATCAACATATATCAGATGAGATTATAAAATTAATTAAAGTTTTTAATACCAGTGATGTTTTCGCATTGTTATACCGAATTTAGTGTTACATTCATTACAATAATCGGATTCTGTCCATGTTGGCTCGTCGTTTAACATATCTGTAGTAGGAGTGTTGATAAGATTAAAGAATTTTGTTACTTTATTATATTCACACATTTTATGATTATTTTTTTAATATAAAAATTTTAAAAAAGGATCAAAAACACATTGAGATAATTTGTATCATTTCAAATTATAACAATAACATTTAGAGTAAGTGCGATATGGCTGAAGCGATGCGTAATTCATTGCTAAACGATAGCATAATTGTATTATTTGACATTTTGTATTTTGTAATTTACGCATTGCTAAGGGATCTCGCAGTATTTCGCACTTACTATAAACGAGCGTTAAGACTGCCTTCACATTGATAATAACAATGTGAAAATATTTGCAGCAAAATCAGAACGAAATGCTGACAACTAGCATATGAAAACGCATTCACGTTGCATATAAATTATTGCGAAAATTTAAACATGAAAAAATTTCACCAAAAACTAAAAAATATTTATAAAATATTAAAAACTAATAATTTTATTGATAAAAACTTCTAGTTTCTGAGCAATCATTATACAGAAATGAGCATTTTTAATTAATAAATAAATAAATATTTACATATTTAATATATAATATATATCGATATATACCAAATATATATGTACATATATATATAAGTTTTTATATTTTCTTAAAAATTTTACAAAAATATTTTCAATTAATTTAAAATTTTTTTTGTTTAAATATTTTATATCGATATATATATCATTACCCCACTCTTAGAGCGAATTCACGGTGAAAAATACAAAAATTTGTATGTAGCGAATTTAAGGTAACTATGAATTCAGGATTAAATTGCAACTTTAATAAGGTTTTTAAATATGTAAAGATTTATATTTATTAATTAAAGATGCTCAAATATATAATTACAATGATTACTCAAAATACTAATAAAATTTTTATTTTTCCATATTTTGGCGAAATAAAAGAAGACATTTAATATCCATTCTATATTTTGGTGCAACACTGCTTCGATTACTAACAAATTTGTTATAACAAAAAAAAAGTAATTTAAATTTGAAAAGATCTTACATTGTATTTTAAAAACACATATCAAATCCTATTGGTGGCTAAATTGAGAATTCTCAATTGCGCTATAAATAAAATATTTCCAATAATGAAAAAAATTACAATCTTATATTTATATGAAAATTATTAGTACATTGAATTTAATTTTAGTTATCTGTTTTAAGATATCAAAATTAAAACGTCTAGACAATATCATACTCCTACAAATCTGGAATCAAAGTACAATAAAAAAAATAATGAACTTAATTGATTATTTATGAATAAATCTTAATTATAAAATTGTTTTCAAATAATATTTAAATTCATAAAATATTTTAATAAATAGGTGTATATTAATGAAACAGAATTTATTTGGACATGTTTTATAATACATATACAAAAAATTTAATTAATTTTAATTGTCTGTATCTAAATTATAAATAGAATTATCGTTTTTTCCTATGAATGATCTTTTATCCAATTCTTTCTATATCTAACACTTGAATTATGATGATTTTTCCTTGATTATTTACTTTCCCATCTTTATGTTTTTCATCATCAAAAAATCATAATATGATAAATTATAATTCTTCTTCTTCTCCGTTTAATGGCGATTTCCAGGTTTACCCAGGTTGGCCAGTTTCCCTTCTGATTTCATCATTAGGAAATTTTGTAGCAAGGATTTTACAATCGGATACCCTTCCTGACATCAACCTCTTTAGGTGGTTTATAATAAATTATAATTAAACATTATTAAATGATTATATACTAAGATTTCAGGATCTAATAACCCATAGCTTAAAAAAAAATAAAGCATAAATTATAATTAATAATAGGAAAGTAATCATATGCTAGCTCAGCATTAAGCTGGACTAGAGCTTAATGTAAGTTATGATTAATTAGAATGTACAAATTTCGAATCTTGAACAAGTTTTATCTAATCAAATTTATCAAAATTTAAAAATCGAAGCGAAACAATATGATTTGTTTTTTATTTTTACGCAACGCGAAAAAAAAATTGGATGCGAAAGCTAAACATAAATGATTTGATTTAAATATTATCTTTTGTATTTTTATTTTTCGCAACGCATGCCAAAATGTTCGTGCTCCAATGCGAATGCAGGCATCTTCGATACCAAGCGCGATATACCGCGATTCGCTCAATCGATGCGTTCTGCTATCGTTTAGCAATAAATCACGCATCACTTCAGCGATATCGCTCTTACTATAAACAAGGCCTTACATGTAATCCATCCTCGGAAACATCTAAAATAATTAATTAGCTACCTAGTAGGCGAAAAAGTAATTGATGAGATGCAACTTGAGCATTAAATATGGAAACGCCCTCGAAATTCGTGTTCCCCAGTGAGGCGCCACCTTTCACCAACGATCTGCATAAATTACCTCTGCCATTTAGATACGCGTACAACAAAGCTTATCATTAAGTTATTTAATTTAAAATATATGTCATTTTATTATTTTGATACTCAATTTATATAATCTTTGCTAGTCTAGTAACTTGAAATTTACACTATTATATTTTATTTGCAGTCTCTAAACTAGTGATCCGCATCGGGCCTAATTTTTCAAGTCCGGCCGGGTCCGATTTTTTTTTAGAAAAAATTAGTCGCCTGGCCCGAATTTATTTATATATAGAAATTAATTTCTTTTAAATTGTAATCTAAATTTTTTAAAAATTATTATACCCAAAATAAAAGATATAAGTCATATGGCGTCTAGTTTCTATAAATAAAATTAAATATTTTTATTTTACATAAAAAATTCAACATAAAATTGTTAAATTTAGATTTTATTTTAAAAAATTTCCAAGGCCAAACCCGACTCGGCCCTAATTTTTTAAAAAAATATTAAACCCGACCCAGCAAACCAGATTTTTTAAAAAAGTAGGTCCGGCTTGAAGGCCAGGCCTACTTTTGCAGATCCTAGCTCTAAACCCTCTAAATAAGAAACAAAATCACGGCGTTAAAAAGGTTATCCGGTCCAGTTTTGATGCCAAAATCATAGCCTTAACTAAACAAAACGGCACTATCAAGTGACTTTCTCTAATACTCATAATCCAAACATTGTTGAATTTTATGAAGATTTTAAATTGTGATTCATTATTTACGGGTGTTTCCATCGTTATCTTGAGCGTTGATTGGGAAGTTTTGCCTATGTTGTTTGAATAAATCAAATACAGCGCTACCGTTATCTTTAACGTAAATGCCTATCAGATGTAGAGCAGACCTGTTCCTAGAAATTGATGAAAAACAAATCGTATTTATTTAAAATAATAATCGAAATTTTTACAAAATTCTTATAAGTTTTATAAAAAAGTATTTATTTTTTTTTCTTAATTTATTAATTTTTTTAGTTCAAATAAAAATAATGAATACTTAAAATTGATGGTATCGGGAGAGATATCAGTCTCTATTAGCAAATACTCCAGACATTCAATGTTGCCATTCATGATTGCTAAGTGCAAAACTTTTAAAATTTATATTGGTATAAAAATAAATTCTCAATAAATCAAGATATAAATGTTATGTTGGCTTAGGGCGGAACCTGCAGGTTTCTGATGATAATATTAATTAGAGTAAAATAAATATTTATAGTCTGATTTTAGCAATTACAAGCAGGGACCCGGAACGAGGGCATTTTTATGGACAGGCAAAAAAATATGCTTCGTTCTCGTTCTGTTTCATATTTTTTTTTTATTGTGGTTTTCAAACTTCTCCCTTTTGTTTCCCCGTTCGAAAATTTGATCTAACATTCCTCTAGGTTTAAATTTTAGTAGTATTTCAGCAGGACTTTGTTCAGTTTCTGTTCCTGGTGTATTTCTGTAATTGTAGAGAAAAATAGCTAGACTGGTTTCTAAATCCCTCTCGTTTCTTTTATTCATACTCTGTTTAAAAGTTCGAACTAAACGTTCGACCATGCCGTTTGTCTGAGGATGGTAAGGACTTCCGTGCACTAATTGAATCCCGTTTTTTCACAAAAATTATTGAAATCTTTGCTGCTGAATTGAGGTCCGTTATCAGAAACGATTATTTTGGGAAATCCGAATCTTGTAAAATATTTCTTAATATTTTTATCGTGCTTTCGGTTGTAGTGCTAGTCATGGGAACTATTTCTGGCCAGCGACTGCTAGCATCTATCACTACCAACCAATAATGATTTTGAAATGATCCAGCATAATCAATATGTACTCGGTGCCATGCTTTTGGTGGTTTTGGCCAATTTTGAATTGCTGTCTTTTGAGGTATATCGTGTTGTTCCTGGCATTCTCTAATTTTTCGACCCATGTTTCTATATCTTGGTTTATATTAAGCCACCACGCGTATTGTCGTGCTCCCATCTTCATTTTTACCATTACGATATGTCCTTGATGTATCATGTCCAACACGTTGTTTCGGTATTATCATTTTAGTTCTCCATAATAAACAACCTCTCTCTGTTGTAATTTCCTCTCTCCTTTGGCTATACTCCTTTAAACATGCATCATAGTTTATTGGCCATCCATCTATTGTATATCTGTATACTTTAGAAAGTATATCATCTCGCATTGTTTCTCTTTCAATTTCGCTTGCATTTAAAGGTGTTTCTCCCACCTGTATTTGATCTACCGCTTCTTCTTTTGATATTGGAGTTCCCTTTATGGGTAATCTAGTGGTATATCTTTTCTTGGATGAAATAAACTCATTAATAGCTTGTGGTCTGTTTGTAATGTGAACTTTTTTCCATATATAAATTCTTTGAATTTTGTAACCCCGAATATGATGGCAAGTGCTTCTCTTTCAATTTGGCTATAATTTTTTTCAGCTGCATTTAGTGTTCTTGAGGCGAATGCAATTGGTCTCTCCTTACCCCCTTCTATATGTGATATTACTGCCCCAATTCCTATAGCTGATGCACATGTTGCTAATATAATGGGTAATTTTGTCATAATGTTGTAATATTGGAGTACTACTTATTTCTTGCTTTATTTTTTTATACGCGTCTTTTCATTCATTAGTCCATTTCCAAACAACTGCTTTTTCTAATAATTTGTATAGTGGTTTGGCTTTGGCCAAAATTCGAAATAAATTTTGAATAGTATGTTGCTGACTCTAGAAATGACTGTAATTGTTTCAAATTTATTGGTTCTGGTGCATTTTTTACTGCCTCAGTATTTTTTTCGGTAGTTGTAATTCCGTTTTTTGAAATATTGTGTCCTAAGTATTTGACATTTTGTTTGAAAAATTTACATTTTTCTATTTTTAGCTTGATTCCATTTTCATCTATACATTTTAGTACCTTTTTTAAATTTGTTTCGTGTTTCTCACTATTTTTTCCGGTTATTATAATATCATCTAAATAACAAGCTACTCCTTCAAAACCTTTTAATAAATTCTCGATGGCTCGTTGAAATATTGCTGGAGAAGACGATATACCAAAAGGTAGTCTTGTATATTTAAATAATCTATGCGTATTGATTACAAGATATTTTTGAGACTCTTCCTCCATTTTAATTTGAAAATAGGCATCTGAGAGATCCATTATTGAAAATTCCTCTCTTTTTCCCAAATTGGCTAATAAATCTTGGATTCTTGGTATTGGATATGAATCATTATTAATATTTTGATTTATAGTTCTTTTAAAATCCCCGCAAATTCTTAATGTTTTATCTTTCTTTTGAACAATTACTATGGGTGATGCATAAAGTGAATGATTAATTTTCTCTATTACTCCTATTTTTTGCAATCTATCTAAATCGTCTTCAACTTTATCTTTTAATGCGTATGGTACGGGACGTGATTTACAGAAAATTGGTTTCTCGTTTTTCATATATATTTGTGCCTTATAATCTTTCAAGCAGCCTAATTCTTTGGTAAATAATTGAGGAAATTCATTTTGTATATTAATATTATTTATTTGTATGGTCCTTTCAGGTAATTCAGTCATTTTGGGAAATTTAATTATCCAATTTCTTCCAATTAGATTTTTGGTATATCCTTTTGTAATTATGAGAGGTAGTTCTAATGTTCGCCCTTTATATTGTACTTTTACTACAGTCTGACCTAATAGTGGTATATTGGTTCCTGTATAACTTTTATATTTTAGCATGCAATTTGTTAATTCAGGATGATTAAGTTTATTTTTCCAATCTATTTCGTTAATTATACTGACCCCAGCTCCAGTATCCAATTTCATTCTTATATAGCTGTTGTTTATTTTGACATCCACCCAAAATTCTTTATTATATTCGTTTGTTTTATTATTAATAAAATTCACTATTTCTTTTCTACAGACTCGAGAAATGTGCCCAATTTTGTTGCATTTGTGGCATTCTTGAAAAGACAATTTTCCCTTCTGAGGTTTTCGCCGCAGGAGTGGCATGGATTTGGTTTTTTGTAGCTCGAATTATAATTATTATATGATTTTGAATGTTTATCATTATCATTATTAACTTTTTTAATTATTTATATTATCATTATGTTCCTCTTCTAAATGATCGATTTTAATTTCATCATTTTGTATTAATTTTGTATTTTTTATTGCTGTTTCTACTGCAGGCAGTAGCTATCTAAATAGCTTTATTTATGTCTATAACGTCTTCGGATAGTAATCTTTGTAAAATTTTTGGATTTTTTATTCCGAATATAAATTTCTCTCTTAATACAGTATTTAAATATTCCCCAAAATCACAAGTCGTTGCTAATTTTCATAGATTTTGTATATAGTCTATTAGTTTTTCATCATTTTGTTGATTATATTGATAAAAATTAATCCAGTATTTTGTAAGTATCACACCCTATTGTTGTTAATAACAGAGATTTTTCTTGTGATGATGTTAAACTTGGTTGTGTGTTTTTAAATTCTTGAAATAAGTTGTACCAATCTTTGTAACACAGGTTTGAATCCGTTAGACTTTTTATAGACTGCGCCATTTGTAAATTTTTCTTATTCTTTTATTATTCAAATTAATCTTAAATTATATAATAATAATAAAATAAACATTTTACAAAAAATAACAAAAAACAACAATTAAAGGAACTTTCCGAAAGTTTCAGGAACTTTTCCGAAATCACCGTTCCCCGTCTGTCATAGTGGCATAATTTTTCTCAAGTTTCTTGTTCTTGATTATAAGGTAAATATAAGCGTTCTAAAAATCATCATCTTATCAGTCTCCCAAACTAAATTTTGGGTCCAAATCTATTTCTAATGACTTATGAAAAATACCCTTCCCCAATGGCCCTCAAATAAACTGTTGCTCCCATAGCTGCAACTTCTTGGCTACTGGCCTGCATCTTATGCATAGATATCTAGCCACTAAACTAAATTCAACACTCATCACAATGTTTGCCTACATTCATTTATCTGTTCTAACATAAATTAACAACTGGCTGCTAATTTTTTTAACAATATAATAATTTAATCAATATATAACCCTTTTAAATTTTCTTCAAATGGATACAGGTAAGTGATATGCTTGTGCCTGCTAGGTACCTTTAAAAATATCGAGGGTTTTGAGATTACTCAAAAATAGAGGATGTTCAAATAAAACTAAATTAAAAAGGAATAGGACTCTAAGAAAAATGGTTTCAAAGGATTAAGAAATATTATCATAATAAATTTCTGTAGTTGGAAGACAAGTTTCCATAGCAACTTGTCAGTAGACCTGTGCACCGAAGTCTCAATCGGCTACGGCGGTTTTTTAAACATTTCATCAGTGCGAAGAATTAGCTGTCACCCTAATGAATTGGTGGCGGCATCGGAGGCGCCATTTAAAAATGAATATTTATAATCCATTGTATTAAATTTTTTTATAATTAATTTAGGCACTCTTATAGTTCCAAAATTGTTAATAAAGTTTAGTTCTTAAATCATTTCCAGTCCCACTCCTAAATAAATTTATGTATTTCTCAATTTCCGAAATAGTCTAATTTACTCAGGGTGGATGTTGAACCCGGGCCCTTGAACCTTCTTATTTTTACTGGACCCAAACCAGGACCCTTTTAAAATGGAAGGATTCAAGGGTTCAATTTTTTTAAATTTTTCAAAGTTTCAGCTGGTTTATAAAATTTAATTTTATAGGTAATATCTTGTTTAATTTATATCAAATTTAGAAAGTGAAATGTGAATTTTATAATGTAGGTAATAATATTTTATTATAAATGATAATGTATTTATATAATAGAAATAAGGTGCTTATCTTGTTTAATATCAATTTTAGAAAGTGAAATATGGGGAATTTTGAAGCAAATTTTTTTTATGGTGCATGATATTTATCAATCTAAATCTGTACTTCCTAAAATATCCACTTGATTTAAACTAAAAATATCGCAATTTAAATCAAAAAAAAAATCTTTTTTTGATTTTTGCAAAAAATTACAAATTTTGCTAAACCTAGTAAATATGTATCTTGTAAGATAAAAAGTAAATAAAAAATAATATTTTCCCACATAAAAATAGTAAAAAAAACATAATTCATAATTTTCAATTAAAAATTATGGGTCAGGCCGAGCTTGAATCAATAAATAAAATCTAGTCCGGCGGGCTTAAAAATAAATAAAAATTCAGGCCGGGCACGAGTAAAAATTATAAAAAAATTCAAATCGAGTATGTTAAATCAAAATAAATGTTAAAAAATATTAAATATCCCTAAAATTCCTCCCCCCCCCCACCTCTTCACCCCTTTAAACGTCTTGGATATGAACAAAATGAAGTTAAATATTAATATAGATTTTATGGTTAATTGATATTGACTTGTTATTATTTTTAAGTTATTTCTAGTTAAGTGTGTCATTATATTTTTAGTAAAGAGATTTTTAAAATTTCATCATTTTAAATTATTTTGGCTGTATCTTGAAAATTGTTTCAAAGGGAAATGTAAAATATGAGATGCAAATGATTGTTAAATGATATATTATATGTTTTCCAACTATTAAATGGTTATAGTTTAAATTCATTTTAAAAATTTAGCCCAGGTTTGTTTTTTGATCTATATATATAATTTTTTTATATTCTATTGTTCACTGTAAGCTCTGGGCTGAGTCCCTGGCCTGCAGGTTTCTGATATTTAGTATTTTTAAAAAATTACAATAAAAAAATTAATAAAATATATGTTTTATGTTTGAAAAATCTTTTAAATAAAATATACCAAGATGAATGAAAGTGTATTATGAAATTGAATAAATAAAATTTTTAATTAAATCATGATAATTTCATTTGAGAATTCATTAATTATTTTTAAAACATTTCATTCCCTTAGTCATAATTGCAATAATCATATGAGCCTGTACCCGAATTTCCATTGTTGTCCTTAGCATCTATGTCTGCTCCGTTTTCAACCATTATTCTAACATAATCAGCGTTTCCACTTATAACAGCCAAATGCAGAGGGGTTTGGGAGTTGGTGTTTTTGGCATTAACATCCGAGCCGGCCAAAATCTAATTATCATTTTATAAAAATAAATTTTTTAACTATCATGTCCTTATTTCTGTTATCACTACAATCGATTGGTCAGAAATACAGAGCCTGAAGAGTGCAAGAGCAACCAAAAGAAGGTTAATATGACATATTGTTATTTAGTATTTTATTTACTATTGAATAATTATTTTGTAGTGGATTAATAGATTGAAAAACAACTGCAATAAAATTGTCGCAGAATATATCGATGATAAATTTGGAAATTGTTATTAAACTAAATACGCATTTTCGATGTATAATGGAAAATAAAAAGAAACTTTATGAATAAGGATTTGATAAATTACGGTCGAGAAAATAGATTTTTCGACAACTATGTTAACAAAGCATGATCAGAATATCACCGATATAGATATATTATTTTTAAGAATTTGATACCAATTTATGATGTAATTCAAAAATCGCATTGATTTACATAGAAATATATCCCATTAAAATAAAATTATGCATAAATGCCATAAAAATAAAATATATTTGCTATTTTGGAATTAAAACGAAAACGATCGTTTAGGAGAGGGGAAAGGAGTGTAAATTTTATAAGTGAAATCACTAGGCTTTAGATGCAAGTTTAATAATAAAAAATGTAATGGCTTTGAAACATATTATAATCACAACATGTTCAGTTGGTTAGATTAAAACCTTTCTGGTCAATTACATAATATCCCTTCAATTTATATTTTTGAAGAATTTCATTTCCTTGCAATTGTTGCCCAGTCCATTTGAAATCATGTTATATGGCAAGACACCAACCTCTAAATTTTTGTCTTAAAATTTCAAGTTTGGTCCCCTAATTCCCGATATTTGGCCTTGCTAACAGAAAATTCTGCGTCTCTCAGACAATTTTCCATTTCATCTAGAATTTGGTTTATCAAATCAAGTTTAGTTTTTAACTTCTAAGACACCAACATTAACTTTGCGGAGGAACACCCCGTCAAACTGTGAACTCCTTTAAGAATAAATTTTTATTACTTCATATAATGTATCAAACTGTGAACTCCTTTAAGATAAATTTTTATTACTTAATTTAATGTATCATAGATTAGTTATGAATACACTCGAAGCTTGATATCTAATTTAATCGGTTGTCAGTTTCCCTAAATCATTAGTCTTCGGATAGTAGAGACCCTTGTGAATAATCAACATAATATGGTAAAATTATTTATAATTAACTTTCGTTAATGTTAACAAATTTGAAAGAGCGGTCAGAAGCCTATAAGACGTGTTAAATAATTCGGTTATATATAGTTAACCTTTTCCTAAATCTATGATATCCAAAAATGGAATATTTGCAACGAATATTTAAATAATCAATTATAAATTATATTATTTGTGATAAAATTTAAAAAATTTGTGGCAATAAATTATATAAAAAATAATATTTTTCGATATGCCCATTATTATAGTTAATAAAGTTAATATTATAATGAGGTATGTATTCTCATTGGCGTAAAAGTTTTCAAATTTTAAAGATCAGTTTCAGCTTATTGTTACTGAAAATATGGAAAAACATATTTCATTGTAATATAAAATTACTTTTATTTATTTTTTAAATTTTATAAATAATTAAAGCTAGTTTAATTTATATCAACCACCAAATTCCTTCATTTTTATTTTGAATTTTCGTTGTTAAATTTTCAGTAAAGATTGTTAATCAAATTAGTATTGAATCAATCAATGTATGTAAATTATATTCTTATTGATATTATAATTTATTTTATAAAGAATATTATGCAATTGAACTTCAGATGAAGATGAGTAAAGTCTGCCTTGTTACAATATGAAATATTTTTTTACACCAATAAAGAAAACTATACACTTTGTAAGGTAAATTGGGTCCCAACTCAAATATTTTAACATCAATTACATGAGCATCCTCCTAACTGTCAGCCATTTTTAAGGAAAAAATTGGATTACTGATTAAATTGGTTATAACAAGATGGAACTCTTACTATAGGAAAATGACCACAAATTTGACGAACTCCAAATCACAAAGATTTTCAGATAAAGACAACTCGTTGATAAGTGAATATTGTATGGCTATATATACGATTTTATAGGTTATGGAACCTGTTCATACGGCTCTTTCGATTTTAGAGAGAGAAGAAAAAATTCATTTGGGAAATCTCATTCCCACGATAACTATTATAATATTAAAAGCTTTAAATAATTTCATTTTGTAGGCCACTTATTAATACAATTTTGCAAGACAAAGATAAAAGGTATAGAGTTGAAGTATTGTCAATAATATATATTTTGATATTTTATTTTAGTTTAAATATGTATTATTAGCAATAATTCACCCGCTATTTAAATCAGGTTGGCCCTCGCAAAACTAGATGTCAGGGAAGGTGTTTGAGAAAAGATCTTGACATGTGTCCCTTTTTTCAGAAGTAACGAGTAATGTGTTTCTTTTTTAAAGTAAACAGCACTAGTATCTTGGCATCCTTTGCACTATTTTATATTCACAAATTTTGACATTGTCACAATTAACATAGATCCAATTCTGGGGAATCGAAGAGTAAAGAATTGGAAGAGAACAGATGCAAAAGAGATCCTAGAACCCGGGGATCTTATCACATGTCAGAGAGAAAATAACAAAAGGGATTAAGAAAACAACATCTTAAAAAATTAACCCAATAGGAAATGATTAATGAAAGATAGAAAAATATGGTGGATATCTGTATAAAAGAAACAAACCAGAGTTTGAAAAAAATTGTGATTTCATTTTGAAAGATTTTTTATGAATGAAAATTAAATTTTTTTTTACTTATTATATAAAAAAATTTTACAAAATATATTTCACATGTAAAATTTAATCAAGACTATTTCTTTTTAAAAAAATTTAGCTCCAAATATTAAAGATTTTATTTTCAAAATCTAAACAATCAAGAAAAAATAACATTAGGTGGGAGAAAATGTTATACTCCTTAGAATCAGGTTTAGAAAACATGATTTCGTTAAAAATGGTATGGGAAAGATGGTACTATTCAATCAAAATATAATATTTAAAACGGTAAAGAACGAACATCCCGGTATGGGAAAGATGGTACTATTCAATCAAAATATAATATTTAAAACGGTAAAGAACGAGCATCCCCAGTTCTAAGTAAGTTATTGATAATAGAAACTCTAAAAAAAATATCGAAATGAATTATAAAAAATTTTTCCAAATAATTTGTTACAAACAAAATAAATGTGAAAAGGAGAAGTCTCATAAGCATGCATAAATTTCTAACGAGATAGCTGAAATTTTGATGGAATAGTTGGTTAAATAGGTTTCAAAGATGCAACAGAGAATTGGTTAATGGTAGGTTTAATAATTTTTCGATGCAATTTACACTAAAAAATTATATATTCTTGCAAAATTTCTTATTTGACAATAATTTTTTAAACTCATTTTATTGCTTTTTAATCTTCCTAGAAATAATTTTTTTTATTATATTCTCCGTTTGACTGGCACATTTATAAAAAAAAAGGAAGCAAAACACAAACCGATAATTTTTATTTTATATCTATTATAATTATTTTAAAAAATAAATTTTTTTTAATTTATAGACATTATATTATATTATGCACATTACAATATATATATGCATTCGATATATGATAAAACAAAACAAAAATAAATATATATTTTAAAAAAGAGTAAAAAAAAATACTATTATAAAAGATGGATAATAGGCTATATAGAGCATTGAATTGAGAAGAATCGGCAAATTTTAAAGTCATTGTACTGGTGAATATAGAAATATTCTTTAGGATCGCCCGTGAGATGGGTAATTTCTCTTCCTATCTCCTTCAGGAAAGAAAGTATCTCGTGGCCGAAGTTACCGAGGTTGATGTAACACAGGACTAAAAATTGATGAATTTAATTAAATAGGATAAGTTATTGTGCTTTTTCATACAAGCATAGGCGCCAAATATTAGTCCAATCCAGCAGTATCGGTATCGCCAAAAAAAGGTGGCATCGGTGCATCTTTGGAGAGTAGCAGGACAAACTCACCAATAAATTAAAGTCATGTAACAAATTGGTTAGTGGTAGTAATAGATTACAATTGTTTTTTATTATGCATAATTTAGGTTAGTTGAATGGAAAATAACTACAATTTGTAGAATTTTAGAACTTCTGATTTGTAACAGTTGAGAAATCTGCGAGGCTTTGGGTCCCCGCATGTATTTTTCGACAATAACAATAATATATACCTATGTTTGAATTGGCTAAAACTATCATTCATTTCTTCTTATCTATATAATTTTCTATTTCCTTCCAGATTATATTATATTAGAGATCTGCAAAAGTAGGCTCGGGCCGATCCTATTTTTTTAAAAAAAAAATCAGGTTCAGGCTGGGTCGGGCCTAATATTTTCTAAAAAAATTCGGGCCGAGTCGGGCCTTGAAAATTTTTTTAAAATATATCTTATCAATTTTATGTTGAATTTTTTATGTAAAATAAAAACATTTGATTTTATTTTTAGAAACTAGAGGTCATATAACATATATCTTTATTTTGAGTAATTATAAAAATGAATAAAACCAGGTTTCGAATAATAATTTCGGAGGACTCCGAGGTGGCTAAATGTAAAGGAGTGTTTTGTAAGAAATCCTGAACCCTGGAATTCACGTTTGCACGAATGCCGATAAGAAAAAGCACGTTTTCAATATCCTTGTTTTTGATCGAGTTGTGTAGAAAATTAAAGCCCTTGGAATCCATCTAAAAAAGGTGATATAAAAATTAAGCATTTTAAAATATAGCTATTAAAATTAAATCAAATATTATCCAGATAATCTCGTCTTGGTATTATTTTGTCTAATTCTTCCATATTATCAATATCACTTATTTTTCCCCAATTTCACTGTCATTGCTGACTATTATTAGATGACTCTTTTCCTCATGATAAAATTTATATGTATGATATTTTATCACTTTCTTTATCGTTCCTTGTCCTTTTATTGTTGAAGAATATAGTAAAAATACTTATATTCATAAAGCATAAGGAATATATTATGATTAAAAATGTTTACCATAGCATGGTAGAAATTAATGATGAGAAATTATATTTAAAATTTTTCATAATAAAATTCATTATTTACGTTTTTTCTTTCTTTATAATTTTTATATATTCGAATTAGAGTCTCAGGAGTATAGATTTGATTACCCAACTTCATATAATATTGCCTATTCGCAATTTATATTTTATGCATTTTAATTCCATAAAAATAATAGTACTCAATTTTATCCAAATATATAAAAAAATTTAAACAGTCTTAAATAACACGACGCTAAAATATATATTCAAAAATACAAAATTTTATTAATTTATATAAAAAATATTGCGCTTCATAAATTATGTCCATTTTCATTTACAAATAATCGTTCATTTGATTTTAATATTTGATAATATCCAATTCGCATGTTTACGCATGATTCTCATGTAATAGAATTAAATATATTGTCTATGGTAGATTCGTCCTAGTAATAAGACCGATTTTATTGTTTTTTTCATGATTTCTTATAAAGTTTAAATTTAATGTTGATACTGGTCATCCAAAATATTAATTCAGCCAGTATCCTTATTTAGTCGATTTCGTTGTATGGCAAAGTGTTCCATCTTGTTGAAAAATACTTGCGCAATTAGAAAATAAGGCATGGATAATTAGATATTTAACAGCTCATACAATCATTAAAGGCTTTATTCTTTCCTTCGAAATGGAATTCACTTGAGAGAACGGTATTCTATTGCTCAGGGTTCAATAATCGTATTTAAGAACCCATTGTAATCATTTATTTTTTGGAACAAAGTTAATGGTGTTTTAAGAAAAGGTTAGGCGCAACAATGACAAATAAAATATTAAAAAATATCCCATTTTATGAATTTTCCTTTGGCTTTTATTTTCTGTTTATAGAGTACCATTCATAAATCAAATCCTGGTTTGGAGTTGGACAGATTTATATGAAGTTGGGTAGTAAATGCTTAAACTTGTTCAGATGCCCCTGGTTCCCGATTGACTATGGCTAGAGCGGCTTCATGATTTTTGAGGTCCAAAGCAGATTCGAAGGCAGTTTTACCTCGCTTATCTTTGATCGTCAAATTGATAAAGGGGTGAGATAAAAGAGAATGTATCAAGGCTTGATGTTGATTTTCTATGGCTACGTGGAGAGGTGTTTTTGATTCGGAGTCCTTATAAGCATATAAGTTTATAATAATTTCTAATTTATAAAAGTAATGGTTATAGTCCCTAAAACTTTAATATGTTAATTATTGCGGTATCAAATATTAATCAGGCTACCTCAGATAGAGATCTGAAATCGGCGGGTTTTTAACCCAAACACTAGTCCGCTCATTATTTAAAAAATTTAATCTACCCATCCTTTTATAATTTTTTGTGAAATTCAGCCACTAGCTCATTTATTTAAAAATTTTATTAAACCCGCTCACCCAATGTTTAAATATTATTTTATTGTTTGGTTTGGCTCCTTATTTTATTTTAATAAATTTTAACTTAAACTAATAAAATATGCAATATTAGGAAATAAAAAACTACAAGCCCGTTCTGCTCATTTCACCCAAGAAATGTTTTAACATTCGCCTGTCCTTCGTTTAAAATATTTTTTTACCCGCCTGGACCAGCCTGTTGCAGACCTCTAGTCTCAGATGTATTATACGGATTAAAAAAAGGATAACAATTTCAAATCAGCATTTCTACCGATATCACTTTCCGATAGACGATAAATTAGAACGATGCAACTTGGTTTCCTTGACCACATTAATGAGGAACAAAATAAACAATATCACAAATACAATCTTATACATTTCCTCCCCATCGTATCAGACCAAATGACTCTGACTCGTATAACTATTAAATCCTTATATAATCATCCAAGCACTAAAAAATGCGCAATGCAGCTACAAATAAAAAGCTTTTCAATGATGATTATGATGTTAGGAAAATGCAATCCAAGATGACGTTTATAATATTAGATATATTTCTAGAGCTTACAATAATATTGATATCGGCCTTGTGCTCGAGCAAGCAAGCCACTAACTTATCCAAACCCCAAGCGCAGGATAAATGAAGCGGGGTTTGTTTATCGGTCGCTTCCTCCCCTCCTTGGCCACTTGGTCCTGGCTTCCTGACGCAATTTACTTCGCAGTTACTTTTTTTAAAAAGATATAAGTTAAATAACAAAGCCGAAGTAACATCTTTTTTTATAAATTTTAATCAAAAATTGAGTTCATCAATATTTTTTTACCTACGAACTAGAAAACAAGCTATGTCTTCTTCATTCATATCGATAGCTTTATGCAGTAACGTTTGCAAGCATCCTTCAGGACCTTCACACCAATATGTCGTGTCACATCCATATTGCACCTATATTTTTTATATAAAACTTGAACTGCTCGTATATAAACAGGAATTCATAATATTGCCAAGAATGTTGCTTAATTTTTTGTTCATATACTTAAATTACATATAACTTTAAATGTAACATTAAGCTACTTGAAATTGTTAAATAGATATTTATAATTTAAATACTTCTGGAGATATTTGTAAGTAACAATAATTTTCCTATTTTTCGTTTAAAAGAAATTGAGGGTCAATATCTTATACCCCAGATTAAAATTGAGAGCTAAAATTTTATATTTTTATTTGATATAAGTAAATTAAACATTTTTCTAAAGCATGTCTTTTTGATGATTTGTCGTGGAAATTCATCATATAAAATTGAAAAAAATTAAAGCAAAAAAAACGAAGCTATCTAAACATACCAAAACGCATGCTATATCATATTTATTCAAGATAAGCGATAGCCACAAAGGACAAATCATATCCCCTTTCTTGTCGGATTCCGGATGATTAATGAATCCATTCTGATTTTGGTGATCGTTTAAAATGGTCGCATCATTTAAATCGTGCGCATTATTATAAGATAAAAGGCAATTGACATCGACCCCGAGTTGGCAAAGTGCTTTAACAACACCTATTAAACCTCGCTTGATAGACAACTCGAACAAATGGCTAGTGCTAATGATATATGTGTATTAATTAATATAGTTATGAATTAGTCTAAAAAAGTAAGGAAAGTTTATATATAAATAATAAGACAACGTCTAGAGAAAATGAGGATGATATTCAAGTGCATCTAGCGCTAACAATATGCAAACCTCCGCGTATACAAATTCTTATATTTATTATCAATATCTTATCACATTATCTTACCCAAGTTAATTGCAGTTATGCAGTATTGGGAATATTTCTATATGAAACAAGATCTTTTTGTATCTTGTACTTTGAGCCTTTTTGTATTTTTAAGATACTTGTATCTATACTTAAGAGGCTTAATTTTTTTTTGTATTTATATCGTATTCTTGATAAAATTTACAGATTAAGATAAGGGGGAGGGGTCGAATAAAATATATTTATTTTTATTTTATTGTCCAATATTTAGGATTTCTCTTTAGACACAGTATACTTTGGTATACAAATATTAATATTCTATATGAAACAAGATCCTTTTGTACCTTGTACTTTAAACCTTTTTGATATTTATAAGATACTTATAACTATATCTAAGAGGCTTACTAAATTTTTTGTATTTTTATCATATTCTTGACAAAAGTTACAGAATAAGATAAGGGGGTAGAATAAGATATTTTTAATTTTATTGTTAAACATTTCGGATTTTCCTTTGAAGCAGTAAACTTTGGTATACAATTAGTAATATTCGAGCAATTTCGATTTCTTGATAATAAAAAGAAAACTATGATGTTACACTTGGTTTATGTATTTATAAATTATATCGTATAAATATTTTATTATAATGATCTAAATATTATGTGTTTTTTCAAACAATCTAAAAAAAATTTGACATAGTTCCTCTATAGGATAGTCTATAGAATTTGATGTCATTTATTCGGAATTCACCTTTCAGCTCGACGAAACAAACTTATATCTATATGATATTTCTTGATCTATTTATCTTGGTTGGATAATACATCTCTCCATTTACACTCTTATTGTTGGGTCGTACATAATTCCGTTATACCAGTTGGGTGGGAAAGCGATGATATTAATTATTTGTGAACCATAAGGCTATCTTCTCCTACTCTCATTAACTTTACGGCCTTATTAGGAAATTTTTCATAAAAAATATCTTGTAATACTTATCTATGATACATTATTTTATAAAGATTAAGGAACTGCCCAACTCTGGTAAATTGTTAAATATTTAGTAAGTTAAAATGATTAAAAATAGGATGCGGCCTGGATAAGATATAAGCCGTAGGTCATCATATAGCAATTTGCTAAACAACGACTAACTTTTACGAAAATAAAAAGACTCATTTTTATGGAATTATGCACTAGCTTCCGATCTACTAAATGTCATATTCCGGCATATAAAACCCTTTAAGTTCGTTTCAAAAGAAACCTGGTCCTTCCTGGATTCGAATCTAGGCCAAAATTTATTGCTAAACAATCCCAAATTCACACTTTCAAAAATTTCTTAATCCGATTTATTAACATAAATAACCTATTAGATTATATATATTAAAATAAATATGATTTTACCTTATATTATAAACCTAGGTATCAAGAAATTATGATCCCCTGATAATCTCATTTTTAGTAAACATTCAATAGTTTTATAAAACACGATATATCAAAAAAATCCAATCAATTATTCTTTTAATTAAAATTATATAAGTTTAATATTTTATTATGAAAATCTTTTATTTTGTGTAGAATTGATATTTTAAATTTTAATAAAGAATATACACTTACCAGCTCTTACGGAAAAAAAATATGCATAATTTTAACTAAAGAAGCGACGTTAAATATTTTTATTAATGAATTCATATAAAAATGAGCTACCTCTCATAGACTGTGGTCCATTCTACCTTCAGATAGTCATTATTCCAAAGATACCAAAGTAAGTGATAAAATGTTTTGAATCCAGGAATAAGGTGACAAATATAAATCATAAAATACAAAAATCCAAGTCCGTTAGTGTACGTAAGTGTTTTAGATGTCAATCCAAGTATCATCTAATAGCGGAATGTAATGTACCGGCATATCTGTTTAAAAAAAAGTATGTCTACCTAATGTTCATAGTGATGAATTAGAGGTACGTCAAGATATACCAAGCTGTTTTAAAGACTATAATATAGAGAAGGAAAAGAAAGTGAATTTGGGAAAGTCGCATCAAAGTTATCATAGAGTAAATGAATTGAAGTCCAGGAAAAAATTCTATGGAAATCGAGTCTGGCCACCGTTGCATTATCGAGGAACAAATAAAGCGATTACTAAGGTTCTGAAATTAACAACAAGCTATACGAGTGTGCAGGATCAAGGAAAGATGCATATGAACGCCATGACAAACTATATACTATACTAATGTGCAAAATCATGGAAAAATGCATATGAAAGCCACGACAAGCTATACGAATGTGCAAGATCATGAAAAGATGAATATAAGGTCCACATTGCAACATCGAATATCGGATATACCTTCTTTTTAAAAAAAAATACATTTCCTTGAACATTTTTTTTATAAGAGAAATTATTAACATGTGCAATCTAATCTTTATGATATTAACTATTTTTGGAATCAGTAAAAATAATGTACTAACTTTTTTTTCACCACCATTAAGGATAATTAGCTCGATCCTTCATTGTACAAAACCCTTTTTATTCACACTCATTGGAGAATAATTAGGAAATCATTATTTCCATTTTCTCGAATGAAGATAATTAACTAAGGACAATCCTTTATTCACATAATTATTTTGATACACAATCATTTGGGAATATTTAATAAATCTAGGAAATCATTATTTCCTTATTCTCAAATAATTATTGGAATTAAGCGATTAATATCTATAACTTATATCCTTATATATTTATATGTATATTTTATATATTTTTTTTAAATGGTGTCTAATAACGAATCCGTAAGTGATAGTTATGTCTAATGATCACTACCCCATTATCTAAGTTAATCGTATTTAATTTATATCCCCTTTTCTTTATTATATTACCCTGGCCCCATTTTTTATTTTTAATATCAAATAAACGAGCCTATACCTTTTGTCCCACAGGAAATTTTTTATTTATATTATCACGGGGTAATATATTAACAATGCCTTTTTGTTTTAAACAATCTAAGGGCACTTTAATTCTTCTACCTAAGAATAATTCTGAAGGACTACTTCCCTCTTTATTTCTAGAATTAAAATAATACAACCGAGGCATGTAAGCCTGATCTTTATGATTTCCAGCTTTTTTAATCCAGTTTTTAATAATTGCTACCATCCTCTCAGCTTGTCCATTCGAGCTGTAATGATATGGTGGAGCAAGAATGTGTTGGGTCTGTGACTCAGCATAAAACTGTTTAATCGCTTATGAATCTTATTTCTATCCCTTTCTTTATCACTAAGCCAAAACATAAACCACTTTATGAGTTACCCTTTTTTTGTATGATGATACAAAAACTAACCCATAAAATTTTTTAAAATTTTTTCATAAGCTAAAAAGAATTTTGATATAAAATAAACAATTTGTCATTTATATTTATTCTATTTTTAATAAAATCTTGCAAAAATAGACCTTTCTGTGCTTGAAAGGGTAGGTGAATTAATGCTTATATTTGTAAGACATACATTTATAACTATAAAGGGAACAATCTTAAGAATAAAAAATATGAATTGGTATTTAAGATACCTAATAAATTTATATCATTCGTTGAAGCGGGCCGCAGACCCGCAAAGGGGGGCTTGGGAGTGAACTCCCCAAGTTTGGAAACCTTACCAGTCGGCCTCTGCAAATTTTACATTATAATAATTTAAATCATGAATTAAAAGATTAACTTTGATGAAACTAAATCCAATTGGTTGGCCGAATGAAGATTCGCTCCATTTTCGAGCAAAAAGATGGCCCCATTTTCATCATTTTCAGTAATACAAATTTCTAACAAGGTCTTTCCACCAGGATGTACCAGATTAATATCGGAACCATTGAATATGAGCTATAATTAATTGTAAAAAAAATTAATTCATAAAAAAAAAGAAGGAAAAAAAATTTGATTACTAAAATAAATACTTAGTCACTTTCATTCAGGTCAATTATCAAATGAATACCAAATATGTATGCAAATCCTGCTTTCATTATTAAATTTTAAAAAAGGTTTGTTATGTAAATAAAATTTTTTAAATATATTGGTAATACAATAAATTTCAAATATTTATTAGGCTGTTATTAATTTCTCCAGTATTTTATTCAAAATTTCCAAGTATAATAAAAAATTTGTAAGTGTTTTTTTTTGCTGCCAATAAATTCTATTTTCTACGATATTTTAATTAATTCGTTAAGCAAACATTTTTTCCCTCATTATTTTAAATATATTGAAATAAGTAAATTATTTAAATTAATTCATCAGATGTTCATATACCAGTTGATTTCAGTAAAAAATAAATTCTAAAGCTTGGAGGAGAAACACAATTATTTTTACTGTATAAATTATATATATATATTTAATGATATAAAAGCAGACCCTTTTGTATAATACTTATATTATATATAAACTTGAAAAAAATATGTACTTATCAAAAAATAGAATATTTCGCAAAAATACTATGGGTTATAAAAGTAACGTCAAAAAAAATAACATCGTTACTAACTTCGTTACCTTTATTGAAGAAAAGGAACGCCATTCGTTACCTTCGTCTAGAGATAACGAGTAACGGTAACGCAAAACGTTATTTGTTACTTTAAATATTTTTTTAAAAAATATTAAAATAAGAAAACATATTTTATTGTTATAAAATTACTTTTATTTATTTTTTAATATAAATAATTTAAGCCGAGTTTTTAATTCACATCAACCACCTTCTTCATTTTTATTTTCAATTCTCATTGTTAAATTTTCAGTCAAATGTTAATCTAATTAATATTCAATCAAAATTCAAAGTAAATGTTAATATAATATTATTATTCTATTTTATAATTTACTTTAAGAATATCATGTCCATAGTACTTACTTCTACAGATTAAGATGATTTAACCCTTCCCTGGCCCCAATTTGAAATATATTTTACACCAATAAAGAAAATTAAGGGTACAAAAGTCTGCATTTTGTAAATATATATTATGTCCCAACGCAAATATTTCAACCTCAATATCCAGCAGTTAAAATTTTAAAAAGCATATGAAGGTAAAAAGATGAATTAATATATTATTATTTTAAACATTACTTTAATAATAGAATATGAAATCATGGATATTATAAAATAACCATTAAAAGAAGTATTCTTTCGTAATATTTTGAAAAGCGTAATCATGAAATTAAAATATAAACAATTAAATTATACGGGCTGGGAACTAACATTAAAAATCCAAGATTAACAAAATATTGGTATTGGTTCAAAATATTATATTGGGTTTAAACAATATCTTCTATTTCTAGTTTTAGTATTGCTATTGGTTTAACTTCAAATTGTTATTAAATTTAAAGAATAAAGTGATTTTAAAAAACTTAGTTATAATAATTAATATATATGGAATAAAACTATGAAGCAATATTGTTTTAGAGAACTGAACCTAGATATTTTTCCTGATTCCTTTTTAAATGATAATTCTGAATTCTGAAAAAGATAAGAAATTGAAAAATTATCTTTGGCAATCATATTTCAATTTTTTAATGTTTACCTTGACAATAAGCTTAGTGAGGGATTAAAAAATGCAATTAAATTTTTAAAAGATTTATCTTCAATTATTGCAAAAGCTAAAAAAAAATCAGGAATTAATAATATTTTAATTATAAAAATTATAGGCTGTTCATTCCTTAAAAATGAAAGAGATTAATGAACATTTAAATAGTAATAAAAATAAAATTGAATCCAATCAACTCACACTCATTGAGATGCAGAATCCATCTATCAAAGATAAAAATAGCACAATCAGCTCTTGATGAATTAGTTTATAATTTTGTAATTGAAGAATTACAACCATTTTCAATTGTAGAAAGAACTCCATTTATTATATTATCAAAAAATTGCAGCCAACTAAAAATATGATGCCTAGGCCTACCTTCGTATTAAAAATTAACAAAGCATATGATACCATGGCAAAGAAATTAGTGGATTCAATGAAATAGTTCCTCTGCCATTATTTGATCTATTTGGAAATCAAAATACTAATGATAGTAATGTATACTTCCTAAGCATCATTCCTGTTCAGCAACACTTTAAATCTCATTGAAAGTGTTGACATCGAAAAGGCAGATAACGATGTCCATTTTAAAAATTAAAATAGCTATTGTGGAATAAACATGGGCAATCTTCAAACTGAGCAGCCATTTTTAAGGATTACATGGGAAGATATCTGATTAACCGGTTATAACAAGGTGGAACTCTTTTTATAATTTCATGAAATTAATAGATAGTCTTATTAAGGAGAATTGCCAAATCTGAATTACAGAGATTTTCAAATAACAACAAGATGTTCATGGATGAATATTGTATGGTTAGTGTAAATTAAGATGGAACCGATTTCTACGGCTCTTTCAATTTTAGAGAGCGAAGAAAAAATGCATTTAGGATATCTCACTCCCACGATAACTATTATAATATTAAAACTTAAAAAAATGGCTTTAAATAATTTCAAGTTTTGTAAGTCGCTTATTAATTCAATTCTGGAAAGCATAGATAAAAGGTATACAGTTCAAATATTGCTTACAATTTAATTTATATTTTGATCATCTTTTATTTTTAATAGATTCAAAAACATCTATAAAGATGAATATATACTATTCTATCCGCATTAATTCACCCGCTTTAAATTGGATTGGCCCTGAATAAAATTAGAGGTTAACAAAGGAAGAATACTAGAACCTATTTCCAGTTTGAGAAAAAATCTTGATAAAGAAAGAGCACACTTAATTCCTTTATCCAATATACATATTAGAAAATATTTTCTGATAAAGATAGAAAAAATTTAATGAGGAAATGAATGAAGATCCTTGTGAAGATGATCTATTAGTCTTTTTTCAAAATAAAGTTAATTCTTTAAATATTTTTAATAAATTCCCCGAATTAAAACTTTTATTTATTAAATATAATGCAACTCTCCCATCCTCTGGGCCAATTGAACGTGTTTTCAATCAATTGTTGCTAAAAATAAATAAAAGATTGTTACAAAAAGAGTTATCTTATATATAATATATTATTTTTGTTTAATTTTATTTATATTATAATTATATATATGAAAATTTTTTTTATAAAAAGATCTTATCTTATATATCATTTTTGTATAGCTAAGTAATGAGTAACCAGTTACTTTTTTGAATAATCAGTCACACGCGTTCCTTTTTTAAAAAGGTAATGAGTAACGATAACGCGTTCCTTTTTTGTAGTAACGTTTACAGCACTAGTTATAATTATTCGCGCTTTTTTATTATTTTTCATCATTTTGAAATAATTCATAATAGGCTGTCTCGGCAGACCTAATCTCATAATGATCAACAAATTTCCAATTAAAAAAAATATGAATATAACTTATATACATATTTTTAGGCCTAGCATCTATTTAAAAAATTATTAATTTTCGATTTGAATTGGCACACTATTTCTTTTGTCGATCATTCTTGTGTAAGAATTTACCCTATAACTTATTAATAAAATTGCATATTCGAAACAATCAACATGATACTTATTAAATATTTTTTATATACAAGAAGGAAGGGGAATTTTTAAATATCAAAAAATTATTTGATGCAGTGAGCTTTTATCATAAACTCAGGAATTTTTAAACTCTTTTTTTTCAGCTAACAAATATATATTTACTTTAGTAGCAATTTCATAATTTTGAGATTTCAACGCCAAGGATAGGGGAGTTTGATCATCATAATCGATTATATTTAGGTCCAAATATCTGGAGAAAAGTTTAGGGTGTACTCCTATAATAAAAATTAAATGATCATGTAAATGAGTTTGCTTTGTGATTGAGCATTGAATTTGAAAAATGTTCAACTAAAATTTTATACAATATAATATATTTTTAAAAAAAGACACTTTTCTTTAAAATAATGTTTACAAATGCATATGCTTTCATTTAAAGGGATGATTGCTAAATTATATATATGTAAATATGAGGGGAAAAAATACCGTGATTATTAGAACAATATTTATCCAACACCAGATTTAAAAAGGCGAAATTCTTTTCGATCAACGACACGTGTAAAGCAGATTGACCCTTGTTTAATGTCGTGGCATTAATATCAAGAGAATCCATCTTATCTGTCAATGATAAACTCGTATGACTCGTAGAGTCTAAAAGGATTTGAGCTAAGTTCAAGCAATTCTCGAAGGCGGCCAATATATGGATGGGCCTGGTTCCCTTTTTGTTGTTTTTTAAATAGGAAGAAGAATATTATTTTTACTTTTATATAATATACATATCAATAGAAACAGAAAATTATTGGATATTTATATTATATATTTTAAAAAAATTAAAGAATAACTTGATTATCGCAGCAATTCAAATTAACGCCCTCTAATTTTATTAAAAATTCTGAGGCCTTGAGATTACCCTCCATCATTAATTCATTAAGCAATGGTAGACCTAAAAAAAAATTTTTTTAATATTGATTTGATAGATAACATCATCAAATTATCTGTAAACTTCTGATAAAAATTATTAGGTTTTTATAGCACATTTCTATAAAATATATCTATATTAAAATCAAAGTGTCTAACCTTTTGATATAATAAGTTCTGTTAAGATTCAGGAAAAAAAATATTAAGGTTTAGGCTCGGTTCAGGTTAAAGATTAAAATATAATAAAAGGTCAGTTTTTGTTAAGAAACCTTCAATGAAGGTTCATAAAGGTTTAATAATGATTGTTTTTTAAAACAAGGCATCCATATATAAGTCTATAAATAATTTATTCTCTTTGATGGAATATATTTTAATCCTCAAAATTATCTTTAGAACGAATCTCTATAGAAACAACTATTGCGCTTCTTTCCCAATATGTAAGTATATCGATGTTTTATTAACCGTTCGATGAGTTAAAGGAATTTGTAATTCTACCAATTAATCAATTGTGTTTTGTATTACGATGTGCCATATTTTTACTTATATTAGTATCCTCGAAATAATAATTTTGACTTGAAGTAATAAATAAGTGAGAGGTGAATTGTCTATATTATATACATAAATTCATCATTTATATATATAGAAAATAATTTTTGGCCTAGTTATTTTATTCATATAATAATCTATTATATGAAAATTAAAAATATTCAAATAAAATAACACGACATGTTAAAAAGAGGATAGGCAGAGTTGCCAGGAAAAAAAAATTTAAAAAGTGGGAGAAATTTTATTATAAATTTATACGGGAGCTAAGCTCCCCACACCTGCCTCTTGCGAACCTTTGGCCTGCTTCATACCAAATCCAATCGATGATACCTTTAATTTTTATTTATATACTTTTTATCTTAAATATATTAAAAGAAAAATATTTCATAAAAACCTAATAAATTTTTTTTTAAATCCCTAAATCGTTGATTGCCCTGAAGTAGTTAGCTATTTAAATTAAATTTAACGTCAACGAATTCATTAATTATATTCAAAAACGGTAAAAACCTAACTTAATGATCTAAAAAATTAATATTTCTTCTATTTCTATTAGTAAACCGGAAAGGAAAATAATACAACACAAATTTTAAGTCTATAAAATTTGAAATCATATATAACCCATATTAAATAATTTATTTTTGAATAAAAATGCGGGAAATCATGTGGTAGATTTGTGAAAATTTAAAAATTTGATCAGTGGTATATTCCCATTATTTGAAAATTTCTAGTCTCTGGTCTGGCTACCCTGGGATAGGATAACAGTGCTTTCATACTTTATTTGGGCAAATATGCTATAGTGAAATGACATAGATATAACATATTATGTAATTGACTTTTTTAAACTTAAAAAACCTTTATAAACTTTTTTAAACTGGTTTACAGGTAAATAAAAATTACCATTAACAGTGTTGATAACATCTTGATGAGGCACACCCTTAGCTATCAATCTAGAAGCCATTTCAAAGTAATGGTTTGTTTCGTTATTCTTAAGGGGGCAATTAAGAGCAGCATATATGATTGAATGACCTGATTTGTCTCGAGTATTTACCAGCTCTAAGTTGGGATTTTGAAGAAGGACATCAAAAATAGTTTGACAACCGTTTTCGATAGCTAGTTGAAGAGGTGTTCTAGGAGTCATTTTAAAAAAAAATTTCAATATCAAAAATATAATATAGAAATCTAGTTGTTTTATGAAAATAAATAAAAGGTCGGAAAATAATAAAAAAATTTGCACACCAGGGTCGGTAAATGAGTACTTCAATAGGGAGAGTAGCAAAGTGCACTATAATATGCTAAATAATCTTACATTTAACCATTTTGGTCTCCGTTTTACACGCTAAATATATTCATATTATATGAACTATAAAAAAAATTTAGATAGTTGAATTCAAATTTTAAATAATATGCATTTTGATTAGTATTTTATATTCAAGCTGGAAATCAAATTAGCCATACTTTTTTTCAAAATCGACAGCGTTGACGTCAGCACCCAGTTCTAACAACTTGTTCAAAAATCGCAACATATTAAATTTAACGTGATTGGGCACGACATCAATAGAAGGCTGTTCAATCGCTGAGATTTTATTGCCTTTGTTAGATTGTTTATCATGAACGTCATTTTGACCAATATCAAGACAGTTAAGGGTTTCATTGATTTTTGATAAATTATTCCCGAAATCCTAAAAATGAATTAAAACATATTTTCAGCATTTGATTTTTAAAACAAAGATCAAACAGGAATAAATTTATGAACAACCCATCATTAGTGTATTTTAAGACCGGAATGGGTTGAAACCCGGACTCCTCTTACAAAATAGGTTTCTGTTATCAATATGAAAAATTCCTGAACCCTAATTCGGGTTCGAAACCCTGCTATCATGTAAAATATAAAAATGAAGAATTTTATTACCTATCAAAATATTTCATAAGAATATTGGAACCAGTAAAAACCCTATTTCTTAGATATTTTGTGTTTCATTCATTCATTCAAAATAGAATATATTATTCAATTGATCAGCTCCTTGTCCGAGGCACGATTTAGATTTATCCCGTCGCTCCGCATAGGCTTTTGCTCACAAGTGCTCTTGACTCTTCTCTAACCATTTTTTAAGAAGACCCTAAAATTCAAGGAATTAAGTAAACGGATACCGTGGGAAAAAATCCCGATCAATCTGAATAATTTCTTTTTCCATAGCAAAGTTTTATTACTTATTATTTGTTTCAAAATATCTTTTAACTTCTTTTATCTTTTTCGTGGTATTTTTAAAGATCCGTTTTTATAAATAAAATATAAGAAATTTCGGTCTCTAACGATGTTAATTAGATGACATAGCGTTGATAAAAAAATTCCAGGAAAATAATTTCTCGAGGAAAAATTGCCAGGGAACCGGAAGAATTCACTATTTTCTGATGTTTAACATTTAAAGAATCAACAAAATGGGGAAAAAATTCCGCGGAAAAAAAAAACTAACAGATAAACTTGTGGAAATTAAGAAAATTTTAAAATAAATCTTAGTTAAAAACTTTAATAAAATATTTTAAATTTTAAGGCTGAAATTTTTAAGCTGGCTAAAAAAATTATCCAAATTAATATTAAATAGTACAATCTCAAAAAGGAGTTCCGAAAAAGTATAAAGCGAGCCCTTCTAAATCGGTGAAGGTATTCATCTATTCTGGGTAGTATCACGTCATTATACCAAAAATTTCTGAGAAAGTTATATCGAGAATGTAGAAGTAAATTATCAATATATCACGAAATCATTATTACTAATGTATTACTGCGAAAATATCAAGAATGAATTACAGCAATTATAGTATGGTGAAAACATTAATGTGCATTTCAACAAGGTATGGGAAAAGTATCGTGGTTACCCGTCTCATCATTAGCCAGATAGTTATAGTTGGCCCATCATAAAATCAAACAGATATCTTAGAGCTGCAAAGCAGGGCAAAGAAGCCATATATATCAAATTTATCTGAATTTATTGATCTTTTAAGCGAACTGGGTGGGTAAGAGGAATAGATATTAATATTAAATATATCGTTTTCTTAATCCCACCGAAAATAGACTATGGCTTGTGTTGCCTACTAGGGTTAGTTTATATTCGATATTAGGTAAGATTTATATCATTTAATTTGCCTTTCGAGACCAGGTATAGGCGAAGGCCAGGTGATTACCCGTCGGTATCAATAGTTATGCCTGGATCAGTAAAATCAAATAGATAACTTAGAGCTGTAAAGCAGCGTGAAGAAGCTACGAGTATCAATTGCTTTGATTTTATTTATTATCATCCAAGTAAGGACTGATGTGGGCTAGAGTTAGTAGAATAATATTATTTTAAAAAAGGGTTTCAATTTAAAAACAAGATATAATATAAACAATATCATAAAAAGGAACTAAAGAAGGGAACATGTCACACTAGAGATGAATGAATGCTTAATAAATTGAATCGGCAGATTTCTCTTGAAATCTGCTGTCGAAGGTAGAATCCTTCGTTGGGGTCGTCTGTAATTTGTCTCCTTTATTGCCTATGTTGATAAAATTGAGGACCTAATCCGAACAGTTGATACTATCGGTATGAAGACTGTGTTTGTGAGGCCAGCGTATTATTTTTTTAGACTACTGCCTTTGCGATTTTAGTAAATGATAGGTTAGTCTTCGCTACAAAAGATACAGGTGGAGTCTAGGAGTAATATACCATGCGTCCAGGGGATATGGGATATACCATCTGGACGAGGGCGTTTTCATTTGAAAGGCCCACTGATCTAAGAGTGGATGGGATATTAACTTTTTGAGGGCAGCCAGAAGAATGTTGTTAACGGATTTATGAAGGGTTATAGTCCGCGAGCTAACTTGAGGGCCATCGCAGTCTTTTTTAATGTTGGAGGCTGGATGGCAGAAGGTAGGCAAATTGTTGCTGTCCCAAAAGGTAAGAATATCAGATAGGTCAGGATCTATAGAAGTGAATACATTATTGATGATAACTTGAGCGGCTAGATGGGAAGAAATAAAGGCTGAAAGAGAAAGTTGTATCAGAAACCGATGCTACTTACTAAGAAGTATGGCCTAAATCCAGAATGAGTATGAAAATTTATGTTCAATATATTTTCGAGGAGACCCTTGATTTGGGATCCATGAGAAACTTGTAATTCGCTGCATTTGTAGATTAGCGGTAATGTTTTCGTGATAATAAATTTAGAAAAACTCATTCGCTATTAGGTTTTTATTGTAATGCATTAGTAATAATATTTCATGGTAATGATTTTGCAGTAAAATTAGGGAAATTCATTCGAGGATACATTGGCTTGGCAAAAATGAACCAGGAGATTCTAATTCTATTCCAGGGACTCTTTTTCCGATTGTTTAAAAAAATTTTAATTAATTTTTTTTCTAAATTTTTAAATATTATTTAAAGGTGTAAAATGATATTTTTCCTGGAAATGTTTCTTGACTAAATTTTTCCGTTCCCCCCGGGAATTATTTTCTGGGTTGATAATTAAACTTTGAGATATTATATAATACATAATCATATTCAATCAAAAAAACTTTATTGATAGTGTTTTATTTTGCTGTTTATTAAAGTAATTTTTTACATATACTTTTTAGAGAATATAATTTTCTAAAACCACTTCCATTTTTAGGGCAACCAGAGCTTAATAATAATTTTGACTTCGTTGATAATCATCGTTTGACATTTTGGTGCATTCATTTTTTTTAAATAAAAAATTGACTTTTTAAATTTAGAAAGACAATTTATGTATGCCCAAATTTTGAATCATTTTTCAAAAATATATATTCAAAATTATAAAATAATTTAATTAAGGCTATAAAATAAATAACTTCACATGATCCAAAGTCAATTAAATCTTGGGTGCCTGCTTTTGATTGGTCATTTTGCGAACAAATATGTTTAGCTCGTTTATATTTTTCTACGTCTGCTAATAAATGAAGAGCGTTGCGTCTAAGTTTTCGGTCCTTCAAGTTGGGGTCGGCTCCATTGTCCAGCAAAAAATTGCAGGATTTTTCGTCACCTGATTTGAGTAAAATATAGCGTCAAAAAATACATGAAATCTTTATAAATAAAGTATTGTATTATATTTTTTATCTTTTGAAGTAAAAAAATAGTTATTTTTTTCTTTTCTTTCTCTCTATAAAAAGAAATCTGATTATTATTTTTAACCACCGGCCTCTCAATTTCTTAAATTTGAATGTGATCATGCAAGTTAAAAATTGATTATTATAAAAGATATTTGTGTGCTCTAATTAAATTTAGACGTGTTGGATTATCCCTAACTCAGTAATATCACTATTACATTCCATTAATTTTATAAAATAAATTTTCAAGTGCTTTCAAGATTTGGCAATAATTTGTCAGAGATCGGTGAGTGGCAGATAAAGCAAAAACAGTCGGTATTAACCTCTTGACTTGAAGGGCAACGTTACTTTAAATTTTTCTTAACAAATAAAAGAATTTATTTTATTTTATTTTATATTTTTCTTAAATTTTATAATTAATTTAAGCCGAGTTTTTAATTCAGACCACCAAAGTTTTTTATTTTATTTATTATATTTTTATTGTTGTTTTATAAGGTCAAGAGTGTTAATATAATTAATATTCAATCAATCAAGGTATGTTAATTTATATTCACTAATATTAAATTTATTATAAAAAGAATATATGTCAACTAGATGATAATCCGTAAGAATAATGGGTGAATAAGATATTTCTCCTTCGTTTGATGATAGATAAATCAAAAATTTAATATCTACAATTTGTAATATTTTTCTAGGTAAAATATTGAGTAGCTGTTTTTAAAAATCGGCTCAAATCGAGCTGTTAACAACATTAATGATAGCCAATAGCGCATTACTTTTTTTGCCAAATAATTATTTTGTTAAAATCCAAACCAACTGGTAAAAATATTTGGAATGTCTAAGTAAATGGATATAGATGTAGTGAGTCAGATGCAGATAATATTAACAAAATAAACTGGAAGAAGTTGATAGTCTTAGAAATGATAATATCCATTTTCCTTTTCCTCAAGTCAGTACTGAGAGATTATTTAGCAAGGCAAAACTTTTACTAAAAATGATTTTATATTAGAATATAACTAAATAAATATTACCATGCATAATTATCTTTATTACATTAATTTTAGTCATTTTTTTAAATAAATTCTTTATAATCAATAACTATATTAAAATATTTTTTTTATATATTTATATGTTTATTTTTATATATACAATTACATTGCAAACAAAAAATAAATATAATTTGTAAATTTTTTAAAATAAAGTAACCCGAAAAATAGCGGTAGTTAATAGCGCGCTATTTTTTTGATAAATAGTTGTAGCAATAGTGCGCTACTTTATTGAGCAATAGCAGTAGCGCACTATTTTTAAAAGTAGAATTTAACAACACTGCATATTTGGCACCTCTAACAAATTTAAGACTCTTAAACCTGTTAGGTAATGATCTCAGATGACTTTTTTTATAAACTTCAAAATAAAAGTTTGAAATATGTTCTATGTTTATAAAATAATCAGAGTTGGCAGATCTTTAAAAAAAAAGAATCAAAATTCTTTATTAAAAAAGTAGTTTAGGTATAGATACAAGTATCTTATTAAAATTATCAATAAATACAAAATATAAATTACTTGTATCTTTTGCTAAATAAGAGTATCTTAAATATAATAAACTTTTTATGAAAAGGTTTATCTATTTCTTCTGCACAATAAGCCATAAAGTCAATTAGAAAGCTAAGAAATATGTGATTCACAAATAATTGATATCGTTTTCCTGACTTCTATATAAAAGAATTGAGTGACCCAGCACTAAAAGTGGAAATTGGGAGGTGTATAAAGCAACCAACAGAAGTACATAAAGAACTCAGTGAGTTGAAATATAAATGACAACTATTATGAAATTTTTTAAATCATTAGAATTTTTTAAATTATCTTAAACAATAATGAAACCATGATATTTTGACAATTATTCCTACAGTGTCATTTATATAAATAATTAAAAACCAAAAGAGACATCATTATTAGAAAAATCTTTTTTATTAAACAAATACAACCAACAAATCTACCCAAAAGTTATAATTTTTTACCATTATAATGTGCCCAAGGGGTAAACCAAAAGATTGTAATATAAATAAATATATTTTATATCACCCTATAAAACAAGATGATTAATATTTTAATAAGATGGTGAATATAAATATATATATAAGAAATCATAAAATTAAATTACCTAATTTGCATACAACAGTAGGGTTGATATGTCAAAATATAAAATAATAAAGAATAATTAAAAATATAAAATATAATAAAGAAAGAAAGAAAGAAAACAAACAAAATCTGCTACTTTTGTAATGAAAACTATACAAGATTCTTTTAAAAATAAATTATCTTTGATTAAATATAAGTATCTTGTTAAAAATAAGATACAAAGTTGATAAGATACAAAAGACTGCTCAACTCTGAAAATAATATTAATTATTATATTTAAAATTTAGTCAAACTTCTCATCATGGCTTTATGTAATAATGGAATGCCAAATTTGTCATAGGCATTTAAATCTGCTTTATATTTAATTAAGGTCTGAGCCAATATTTCTTGTCCTGAATTAAGAGCTAGATCTAAAGGTAAGTCCCCTGTTTCAGCATCCATTTGATTTAAAATTTGAGGAATCTATTTTAGACTATAAATATATAAATTATGATTTTATCAACTCTTGAGTCATGATCTACTAAAAATAAAAGGACAACATCTTCTCTTTTCATTTTGATAGCGGTGTGCAAAGAAAATTTACAGTGAACTTTGATTAACTCATATAATAATGAGGCAGGAATGTTTGTAAAGTGTAGATAACTGAATTCATTCTATTAAAAATATAATTTATCAACTATTATTCAATTATGTTTTATAAAATTAATAATTTTTTTATTAATATTATATTTTAAATAAATTTGTTAATACCCAATAATTGGCTATAATTTTATATGAATAATTTGTTAGATTAGAAGCATTGTATTCTATTGATTTTTCATAAATTTCAATACAATTTTCTTTATTAATCAAAGGTATCATATAATTTTGACAACTAAAAGAATATATATATATAACTAATGAAAAATTACATTTCTTTTAATTGTAAAAGCTTCAAATAATTGCTATATTTAATTATATTTAAAATCTCTTTAAAATCAAGCTTTTGTAGATTGATTTCATCTGTGTATGTCCATTTTAATATAATCTTTCCCATATTATATGGAATATCTATAGACAAATTTGAAAATTACATTATATTTGCTAACCTTTTAAATGTAGAGTTTTTATGTTATCAATATTATTATCACAACATTCAAAATTTCTTGCTTTTAAAATAAATTTATGAGCATTGATAATATGGTCATCTTCAAATATCAATTGAATGTCACTATATAATCGTAAAAATTTTGAAATAAATATAAGAACCTGTATTCAGCTGAATCAAACATTTCTCTAATAGAAGCTAGCACCTTTGAGACAAAATTACTATTTATTTCATTTTTAGAAATATTTCCATCATACAACTCCAAACTTTTACAGCAATCTTGATATTTATTTTGTAACTTAAGATATTCATCTTTCAACAATTTAATATGATGATTTAATTTTTCTATTTCACCTTAATATGAATTATGTATATACACTTGTTAAACTTAAAAAAAACTACTAGGCATCATAATCCACTCATCATATGGATAAAAAGGTGAATGAATGTAGATTTTATCATATGGATAGTGTTAGAAAACCAAAAATATTATAACTACTAGATTGGCTATTCATTTATTAAAAGCTTATATATTTGCCTGTAGCATCATTTTATGATATTAACGTTGACTGAATAACATTTTTTTGTTTAATATTATATTATTTTAAATTCTAAGAGAGAAATATAACTTGTTTAAACAAATTAAATGTTGAAGTGCATAACCAGAAACTCTCTCTAGAAAGAGAAAGGGGGGAGAGGGGTGTGGGGGTAATTTTTACAAAAGAATTAAAAATTTATCTTGAAAATGGCCCGATTAAGATTTTATACAAAATAATATTGTGTAAGCCTCAAAATTAGGCAAATAGAGGTTCAAACCTTGTTGTTACTATGATAAAAATATACAAGCTTAGATAATGTTATTTTGGCTAAAATTTTAATCGAGCCGTTTTTATATATAGACACGAATCGGGCTTTTTAACAACACTACTGACCGGTACATTGATGACACCATAAACTAGATCGCAATAGTCAATAAAATATATATTATTTATTGGTTTTAAATCTCCTAAATAAAATCATCGATAAATTATATTATATGTACCAAATTATTTTTTTGTTTTAAATTCTAGAAAAATATTAAATATCAATTCGTTACATTTACCCTTTATATATTTTTTTAAAATATATAATTATATGATTTAGCAAATTTGATTTAGCAAATTTGATTTAGCAAATTTGATTTAGCAAATTTGATTTAGCAAATTTGATTTAGCAAATTTGATTTAGCAAATTTGATTTAGCAAATTTGATTTAGCAAATTTGATTTTTCTTTATCGTTGTCTGCTCTTATAACTATACCATATATGTCACTATCAATGGAAGAAATAAATTTCTTTTAATCCAATACCTTTTTATTCAAAATTCAATACTATATTAAAGTAACAATTATTTGTAAGTGTATATATATATTTTTTTCTTTAATTATTAATTTGAAAGAATTAATATTAATAAAAAATCTGGGTGATTTTTATGATATCATCATGAGTAAAAATATAATTTTAATTAATATTTTTTAACATAGATATGCTATTTTTTAATTATATAAATATAATGCTAATATCCCCGACTACTTTTTTTCTATTACTTTTATTCTTGATCACCTTATTTTCATATTGAAAAGGATGTGGCTTTGAATCAAAATGCTTCATTTTTTAAAATTCTCTAGGTTTCCAATTAACATTAAAGCTATTTTAATTAAATGGTACCATGCAGTTAAAAGAGAATTTTTTAAACAGCATATACTAGATCATGAATCAGCAGTGGCCTCAATAAGGGAGGTGCGCAGGGGCTTCAGCCCCCTGAAAATTAGAATAGCCCCCTGAAGCAAAAATAAATTTTTTTAATGGAATCTTAACCCCTTGAACTAAAAATAAATTTTTTTGATTGACCCCTGAACGATTTCTTTTATAATTCTATTAAGTAAAATATAGATTTAATTTTATTATTTTAAAGTATTTATTTTTTAGATAATATAAAGGTTAGCAGGGATCAAGGCAAGATTAAACAAAATTTTTATTTAATAAATATATTTTAAAATGTTTAACTACAAATTAACTAAAAATTTATCCTTTATATATACAAAAAATCTATTAAACAATTAAATGAAAAAATGGTGTTAATTTAATGAATATAAGATACAAAAATTAAATTTGCGCTAAATAATAACCATATAATAAAATAATAATCTATGTTCAACATTCCACCCTCTACAGGAACCCCGCCTAGGTTCTCTTTAGACGTAAATCTTTCGTGTTCAAGGAGTTAGCCATCTATTTTGATTATAAAATCTGTCATAGTTTCGTCAAATGATAGTTATTTTGGTTGTAAAATCTCATCTTGCCTTGCTCCCTCCAAATCTTTAAAAAAAACGGTTTAGTATGTGATTCGACTTTGTCATCCTTTTGTTAATTATTATCATAATTTGTTATTGAATAATTTTAGAATATATGTATTATTGAATAAGAATCGCCGAATAATCGAAATAGAATTAATTTAATGAATATCGAATTTGAATAAGAATAATTGAATAGAATAAATTAATCAAATATTGAATAATCGAAATAATATGATTTGATTGGTCGCATTTTATTTTAATTTTATTATATTATAAATATTGCGTTTTAAATAATAGCGTTTTATATAATAATTTTTATCAATATTAAATTTCAATTTTATCTTTTTTTAAATATCTTCAATTGTAGCGTTTTATATAATAATTTTTTTATTTTTTATATATATTTTTTTAATAAAAGATGATAAGATGATATGTACGTCTGTACATCTCTTCAGCAATTTAAACTTTATGCCCTTATTTTTTAATTTAAAAATTATTTTGAAATAATAATTATTCATAAGATTGTTTTTAGTAAAAAATAATTTTTTGAACCTCAAATTTTTAGACAAAGATCTCTTCATTACATCCTTGAGTATTAATCTAAAATGAAGACGTTTAGTTTTTATATGACTTCTCTTAGTGATACTTTTAATTGTCTTCAAATTTATAAGTCTCAATTTTTTTTATCGCATTTAGTAAAAGTTTTTTTAATTTTATTATTTTCTTTAATCTTTGTTTCATTGTTTTCCTTAATGTTTATTTCTTTTTTTCTATAATCACGAATATTTCAAATTATATAATTTATCTCTTTTAGTTTATAAGAATCTCTTTCCTTTTGAATATTGGGTTTTAATTCAATATTTTTCAATTTTTTGATACTAAAAGTTTTACAATTATGATGATCATTTCTTTTATAATAATGTGTTTCTTTATCTAATTTTCTATTTTTATAAAAATTTTCATTATTAGATTTACTAAAATTTTTATATTAGAACAATTTTCTTTTATGTCTGTAGCCGATTTATAATTACATAAATATTTTAATGTACACAATGCCTCATCATAACTTGAATCTAACTCTCTTGGCTTTAATGATTTGGATTCTATTTTTTTTTTTAATTTTTGTGTATGGGAATTTCATCTATTTCATTTTCATTAATTTTTTCAATACTAAGATTTATATCATTATTTTTACAGTCATAATACTCTTTAAAATTTCCCCATGTGATCTTATGGGTATATTTATATCTTCATCATTTTTATATTTAGATACTGAAATTATTTCAAATGATATTATGTCAACAAAAATTTCCTTTAATTTATAAGTATTAATTATATGTTTATCAATATTTTTATAAGATTTATATCATTAATTTTATATATCCATTTGAGCCTTTTCAGCAAAGCATCTGGAGATTCAAACTCCTCATCTGTCGACATGGCTCTAATTAAGCTAATGATATTATCTTGTAAATTAACAGTTAATCGCATAGCCTCACAACTACTGTTGAGCTTACTATATTTAAAAAAATTCTCAGCCTCAGCAATATAAGACTGCTCGCAGCTATACTCCGGAAAAGATAATATCATAATGTTTATTTTTATAATATATTTATTTTATAAATATTTTAGAGATTTTATAATTAAAATTTTAATAAATTTTTTTTTACTTTTTCAAATTAATTATTTCTTACATGTTTTTAGAATAAATATAACATTCCATAATTTTTTATCTAGTTGACCATATTTCAGTAGTTAAAATCATGTTGTCTGTGGATTTAGAATATTTTGTAAGTCATCATAGCTCAATTTTAGTAATCATTTCCATTATCCATGATAGCTTCGTCTAGTTTGATATCTAGTTTAACAATTCTCCTCATTGTTGATGGATCCATTTGATCTAATTTATATTTTTTTGTGAAAATAAATAAATTTAATTTAAAATCGTATATCCCACCGCTGCCACCATGTAATGGTTAGCAGGGATCAAGGCAAGATTAAACAAAATTTTTATTTAATAAATATATTTTAAAATGTTTAACTACAAATTAACTAAAAAACATAATAAATTTATCCTTTATATAAACAAAAAATCTATTAAACAAATAAATGAAAAAATGGTGTTAAAAAAATTTGCGCGAAATAATAACCATATAATAAAATAATAATCCATGTTCAACAGATAATAAATTTAATTAAACCTCCATTATTTACAATAAATTAATTATTATGGATGACATTATGAGCGTACTGAAATATCTAAACCATTTGGAAAACAATGTGTATGATTGTTTGTAATATATAGATTTGGTCGATGAATTGTATTATAATAATTCTATAATAAAAGTATTAATTTTTACAGCAATAAATTTTGTCCTATTTCATCTCAAAATTTAATAGATAGATAACCCCCCCCCCTTCTCTCCCCCAAAAAAATTTTTTTTTCATCCTACCCCATTAAAGCAGCCTACCCCCTACCTCCATCAAATAGGATGCAAACTGTTCCCATCCCACCCGCTGATGTAGA